AATGTGAACATAATTATTACACATCCTTTTTTTTTTGGCAGAACCAGGGATTGAACTCAGGCCTTTGTGCTTTCCACACAAGCGCTTATTCTACTGAGCCATCTTCCCAGCTACACATCCTCTTGTAGACACTTATTTTTACTTAAAAAGAAAAACGTGGGCTAGGGAGATAGCTCGGTGGCATAAGCACCTGCTTGGCAAGTGCAAGGTCCTGAGTTCAATCCCTAGTACTGCAAAAAAAAAAAAAAAAAAGAAAGAAAGAAAAAGAAAAACATAAGTATATTTTTGAATGATTTTTTTTCAGTAATAAATGAAAGATGTTAGTATCATCAAAAGTTTTTTCCATTATCCTTTGAGGTCATGAACACAGATACTATCTTTATGAGTAGATAAAATTATAATTTCTTATTTTATTTATTTATTTATTGGTTCTGGGAATCAAATTTAGGACTTTGTGCTTGGCAGGCAGCCACTATGCCCCTGAGCTATATCCCCATTCCCTAAAATAATAATCTCATATCTCAAAGAAGTAAGTCAAGAAAACGTCCTCGCTGCTCTGGCATTGCTGTGCACTTGGCACACGGCTGGCAGAAAGTGTGCTCAGAGCCTCTTTCTACAACATCCTTTTCACTGATGTTGGGAACTTTACTTTGCAGATGAGGAATGGGTGTGTAGACAGGCAAGATGGATAAAATGACCAAGTTTACAAAGAAAGAACCTGAAAGAGTAAATAAAATCTGAAAGTTACAATAGATTCTGTGAAAGGGAAAGAAACTGTTCAAAAGGAAGGAACAACTGGGATGAGAGAAAGGAGAAAAGAAAGAAGAAAGGAGGCAAATATATACGTATATACACAGGATAGCTCAGATAGTTGTACTACTGATTTCTACTGGTCTGTTGAAAAGAATAGTTTATGCTTGCTTTTTGTTTTCTTTTTTTCTTTCTTTCTTTTTCTTTTTCTTTCTTTTTTTTTTTTTTGGTAGAACCAGGGATTGAACTCAGGCCCTTGTGCTTGCCAGG